TTATTTGTGATCACTTTTTGAGGGAGGAAAAATAGCATACTTTAAAATGGCCATAACTCCTTAAATATTGACATTTCGGGGTTTTTAGCTATTATTTGTGATCACTTTTTGAAGGAGGAAGAATAGCATACTTTAAAATGGCCATAACTCTTTAAATATTGACATTTCGGGGTTTTTAGCTATTATTTGTGATCACTTTTTGAAGGAGGAAAAATAGCATACTTTTAAATGGCCATAACTCCTCAAATATTGACATTTCGGGGTTTTTAGCTATTATTTGTGATCACTTTTTGAAGGAGGAAGAATAGCATACTTTAAAATGGCCATAACTCTTTAAATATTGACATTTCGGGGTTTTTAGCTATTATTTGTGATCACTTTTTGAAGGAGGAAAAATAGCATACTTTAAAATGGCCATAACTCCCTAAATATTGACATTTCGGGGTTTTTAGCTATTATTTGTGATCGCTTTTTGAGGGAGGAAAAATAGCATACTTTAAAATGGCCATAACTCAAATATTGACATTTCGGGGTTTTTAGCTATTATTTGTGATCACTTTTTGAAGGAGGAAGAATAGCATACTTTAAAATGGCCATAACTCCTTAAATATTGACATTTCGGGGTTTTTAGCTATTATTTGTGACCACTTTTTGAGGGAGGAAAAATAGCATACTTTAAAATGGCCATAACTCCTCAAATATTGACATTTCGGGGTTTTTAGCTATTATTTGTGATCACTTTTTGAGGGAGGAAAAATAGCATACTTTAAAATGGCCATAACTCCTTAAATATTGACATTTCGGGGTTTTTAGCTATTATTTGTGATCACTTTTTGAAGGAGGAAGAATAGCATACTTTAAAATGGCCATAACTCCTTAAATATTGACATTTCGGGGTTTTTAGCTATTATTTGTGATCACTTTTTGAAGGAGGAAAAATAGCATACTTTAAAATGGCCATAACTCCTTAAATATTGACATTTCGGGATTTTTAGCTATTATTTGTGATCACTTTTTGAGGGAGGAAAAATAGCATACTTTAAAATGGCCATAACTTCTCAAATATTGACATTTCGGTGTTTTTAGCTATTATTTGTGATCACTTTTTGAGGGAGGAAAAATAGCATACGTTAAAATGGCCATAACTCCTTAAATATTGACATTTCGGGTTTTTTAGCTATTATTTGTGATCACTTTTTGAAGGAGGAAAAATAGCATACTTTAAAATGGCCATAACTCCTTAAATATTGACATTTCGGGGTTTTTAGCTATTATTTGTGATCACTTTTTGAGCGAGGAAAAATAGCATACTTTAAAATGGCCATAACTCCTTAAATATTGACATTTCGGGGTTTTTAGCTATTATTTGTGATCACTTTTTGAAGGAGGAAAAATAGCATACTTTAAAATGGCCATAACTCCTCAAATATTGACATTTCGGGGTTTTTAGCTATTATTTGTGATCACTTTTTGAAGGAGGAAAAATAGCATACTTTAAAATGGCCATAACTCCTTAAATATTGACATTTCGGGGTTTTTAGCTATTATTTGTGATCACTTTTTGAGGGAGGAAAAATAGCATACTTTAAAATGGCCATAACTCCTTAAATATTGACATTTCGGGGTTTTTAGCTATTATTTGTGATCACTTTTTGAGGGAGGAAAAATAGCATACTTTAAAATGGCCATAACTCCTTAAATATTGACATTTCGGGGTTTTTAGCTATTATTTGTGATCACTTTTTGAGGGAGGAAAAATAGCATACTTTAAAATGGCCATAACTCCTTAAATATTGACATTTCGGGGTTTTTAGCTATTATTTGTGATCACTATTTGAGGGAGGAAAAATAGCATACTTTAAAATGGTCATAACTCCTTAAATATTGACATTTCGGGGTTTTTAGCTATTATTTCTGATCACTTTTTGAGGGAGGAAAAATAGCATACTTTAAAATGGCCATAACTCCTTAAATATTGACATTTCGGGGTTTTTAGCTATTATTTGTGATCACTTTTTGAGGGAGGAAAAATAGCATACTTTAAAATGGCCATAACTCCTTAAATATTGACATTTCGGGGTTTTTAGCTATTATTTGTGATCACTTTTTGAGGGAGGAAAAATAGCATACTTTAAAATGGCCAAAACTCCTTAAATATTGATATTTCGGGGTTTTTAGCTATTATTTGTGATCACTTTTTGAAGGAGGAAAAATAGCACACTTTAAAATGGCCATAACTCCTTAAATATTGACATTTCGGGGTTTTTAGCTATTATTTGTGATCACTTTTTGAAGGAGGAAAAATAGCACACTTTAAAATGGCCATAACTCCTTAAATATTGATATTTCGGGGTTTTTAGCTATTATTTGTGATCACTTTTTGAAGGAGGAAAAATAGCATACTTTAAAATGGCCATAACTCCTTAAATATTGACATTTCGGGGTTTTTAGCTGTTATTTGTGATCACTTTTTGAAGGAGGAAAAATAGCATACTTTAAAATGGCCATAACTCCTTAAATATTGACATTTCGGGGTTTTTAGCTATTATTTGTGATCACTTTTTGAAGGAGGAAAAATAGCATACTTTAAAATGGCCATAACTCCTTAAATATTGACATTTCGGGGTTTTTAGGAAAAATAGCATACTTTAAAATGGCCATAACTCCTTAAATATTGACATTTCGGGGTTTTTAGGAAAAATAGCATACTTTAAAATGGCCATAACTCCTTAAATATTGACATTTCGGGGTTTTTAGCTATTATTTGTGATCACTTTTTGAGGGAGGAAAAATAGCATACTTTAAAATGGCCATAACTCCTTAAATATTGACATTTCGGGGTTTTTAGCTATTATTTGTGATCACTTTTTTAGGGAGGAAAAATAGCATACTTTAAAATAGTCATAACTCCTTAAATATTGACATTTCGGGGTTTTTAGCTATTATTTGTGATCACTTTTTGAGGGAGGAAAAATAGCATACTTTAAAATGGCCATAACTCCTTAAATATTGACATTTCGGGGTTTTTAGCTATTATTTGTGTTCACTTATTGAGGGAGGTAAAGTAGCATACTTTAAAATGGCCATAACTCCTTAAATATTGACATTTCGGGGTTTTTAGCTATTATTTGTGATCACTTTTTGAGGGAGGAAAAATAGCATACTTTAAAATGGCCATAACTCCTTAAATATTGACATTTCGGGGTTTTTAGCTATTATTTGTGATCACTTTTCGAAGAAGGAAAAATAGCATACTTTAAAATGGCCATAACTCCTTAAATATTGACATTTCGGGGTTTTTAGCTATTATTTGTGATCACTTTTTGAAGGAGGAAAAATAGCATACATTAAAATGGCCATAACTCCTTAAATATTGACATTTCGGGGTTTTTAGCTATTATTTGTGATCACTTTTTGAAGGAGGAAAAATAGCATACTTTAAAATGGCCATAACTCCTTAAATATTGACATTTCGGGGGTTTTTAGCTATTATTTGTGATCACTTTTTGAAGGAAGAAAAATAGCATACTTTAAAATGGCCATAACTCCTTAAATATTGACATTTCGGGGTTTTTAGCTATTATTTGTGATCACTTTTCGAGGGATGAAAAATAGCACACTTTAAAATGGCCATAACTCCTTAAATATTGACATTTCGGGGTTTTTAGCTATTATTTGTGATCACTTTTCGAGGGATGAAAAATAGCATACTTTAAAATGACCATAACTCCTTAAATATTGACATTTCGGGGTTTTTAGCTATTATTTGTGATCACTTTTCGAGGGATGAAAAATAGCATACTTTAAAATGGCCATAACACCTTAATTATTGACATTTCGGGGTTTTTAGCTATTATTTGTGATCACTTTTTGAAGGAGGAAAAATAGCATACTTTAAAATGGCCATAACTCCTTAAATATTGACATTTCGGGGTTTTTAGCTATTATTTGTGATCACTTTTCGAGGGATGAAAAATAGCATACTTTAAAATGACCATAACTCCTTAAATATTGACATTTCGGGGTTTTTAGCTATTATTTGTGATCACTTTTCGAGGGATGAAAAATAGCATACTTTAAAATGGCCATAACACCTTAATTATTGACATTTCGGGGTTTTTAGCTATTATTTGTGATCACTTTTTGAAGGAGGAAAAATAGCATACTTTAAAATGGCCATAACTCCTTAAATATTGACATTTCGGGGTTTTTAGCTATTATTTGTGATCACTTTTCGAGGGATGAAAAATAGCATAATTTAAAATGGCCATAACTCCTTAAATATTGACATTTCGGGGTTTTTAGCTATTATTTGTGATCACTTTTTGAAGGAGGAAAAATAGCATACTTTAAAATGGCCATAACTCCTTAAATATTGACATTTCGGGGTTTTTAGCTATTATTTGTGATCACTTTTCGAGGGATGAAAAATAGCATACTTTAAAATGGCCATAACTCCTTAAATATTGACATTTCGGGGTTTTTAGCTATTATTTGTGATCACTTTTTGAAGGAGGAAAAATAGCATACTTTAAAATGGCCATAACTCCTTAAATATTGACATTTCGGTGTTTTTAGCTATTATTTGCGATCACTTTTTGAAGGAGGAAAAATATCAAAAATAGCATCATGGTGTTACAAACGGAATGACAAACTTAATATACCCTCCATACTATGATGGAGGGTATAAAAACGATTCGTATGTCTGTTTGTTGATGTTTTACTTATGACAGAGAATATGAGACATCAACGCTAGGGTGTAAGTATTTCTTGCCCATCCATGGCAATGCTGAAATAATCCATCTTCCCTCTTTCATTCAAAATTCACTCTCTTTGTTCTTAGTTCGCCTCTTTAAAAAACTTTTATTAAAGGGTCTTGCAAATTTGGCTATCCAAAAAGGCATTCAATTAAAAGCTCTATTTTAAGTTAACTAAAAAGCTTTCCTCTCTTCGCTTTCGAATATTTCACAATACAAATGAAATCGCGATTATTTTCAACTAAAATATAAGTTGGTAATTATTCTTGATACTCCCCAGTCGGTAGTTGTCATTCAACAGCAATTCGTTTTTAATAAAACAGCAACAATTGAGGTAGAACATAATTCCAAAAAAAGATGAATAGCTCCGATCTAGATGACCTGGATCTCTTTCAAGAGGTCACAATTGAAAACAATTCCGACGAGGATAGCGATATTGAAGATTATTTCTATACCTGTCACATTAGACGTTTGCCGCCACCGCATCGGCGCCAACCACCGACGGAAGAAAAGCCGGTTAATTTCGAAAACTATATTGAAAGTCATTATGGCAACTCAATTAAAATTTTGGATCGCAACACATTTTCTGAGATCAAACTCCCTGTTATCATCGTTTTCAATCATTTCCGTGAAAAATGTTCCCATCACAGCAAGTGGTTGGATATGCTGCACAAGGCCGGTCTACAGTATAAGGATCAAATTGAATTCATTGTGGCCGATATCTATGATATTGATATCATATTTCCCAATCACAATCCCTTGAATTTCTTTTGTGCCTCCGAGAAACCGGAAAAAGAAACACCCCACATATTTGCCCTGAATCCAAAGAAACATTTATACCAACATCAAGATGTCATGAATACCACAGAGGAGAATCTTTTGGAGCTTTGCGAAAATCTATTAAATGGTAGTCTCTATCCCTCACAACAGCCCAGGAAAGACGATGGTAAATTGGTAAAAATATGTGTCCATGAGAATTATGAGGAAATGATAACTAAATCTCCCCGAGACATCTTACTTGTGGTTGCTTGGGATGACTATGAAATATGTTCGATGCTTAAAGGATTAAATTATGAAAAGATGGCCCAAGAAATACAACAATACAATGTTGATCTTATCTTCATAAATGCCGCCGAAAATTATGTACCCATGGAACTCCGAAAATTCTCATATCCAGTGGAATATTTTATACCTCATGAAGATAAACAGTGTTTTATACACTCCAAAGGTTATACTACCCCAAGGTCTTTGATGGCATTTGTACGGGACAATTTAACGCCCCAGGGTCAACGTTTAAGGCAACAAGAAGTGGCAGCCAGAAAATTCCATCATTTCAAATTGCCTGATAATCAGAAAATGGATTTGGAATCATTGGAGGACTATTTGTTTGCAAAATATCCCAAAACCATGAAAATATTTCATAATTTACCAACTACGCCTATGTGTGCTCTAATATTTCTAATGGATTTCAAAAACAAGGGAATTGAATATTATCTGTCCTACCTACAAACTATACATCAAATGGCGGCCTCGAAGGCCTTTTATTCTCTGGATTTTTATATTGGTGATCTCTGTCAAATTAATCAAATACTACCCCAGTGGTACTGTAAAGATCTGGAAATCCACAACAACGGCCATCGGGAGTTCTTCATAGCCATTGACAGACAAAAATGGAAATATAAATTCGATGCGAATGTTCTGAAGTTGCCATCAGCATTATTTTATTATACACAAAAAATCTACCTCTCCACTTTGTTCTATTCCGAAGCTCCAGAGACTGGGGCGAGGCAAATGATAAAAATGTGTACCGCCCACAATATTCGCCATTTAATCACCACCTCAAAAAAGGATATTTTCCTTACAATATACCGCAGTGATTGTGAACGATCTTCAAAGGTTTTGGAATATCTTGAAGAAATAGTTGGTCAAGATATTAAAGAAATGGATATTCGTTTAATAAAAATAGATGCCAATCTAAATTCCATACCAATCGAATATTCATGGTCGGAATATCCAATACATTATTATGTTTCCGTTTCGCATAGAGATGAGAACACCTGTCGTTATAGTATAAGTTTGGATGTAAGCAAGGAAGAGGTTTTAAGTTTCATTGCCAAGCAAAAATAACTGAAATAAAAAGAATAAACAATAAAATGTGTACTTATATATTTATTTAAAAGTTGTTTGTTATACCCTCCACCAAAGTATGGAGGGTATATTAAATTTGTCATTCTCGAAATATACATTTTAGACCCCACAAAGTATATATATTCTTGATCAGCATAAAATTCTATGTCCGTCTGTGGAAATCACTCTAGCTTCCGAACGAAATGAAGTCAGTTGATAAAATTTTACTTAAATGTATATTATGTCTGCAGGAATTTTGGTATTGAAAATGGGCCATGTAGGTCCACGTTTTGGTATGGCCCCTATATATCGATACCACCCGATATTCGGTATTTTGATTGTTTTAGCGACATTATTCACCGGAATTGTTTGAAATTTGGTATTTGAAGTTAGTAATGAATGCTGTAGACTAAGACAGAAAATTGACTGTGCAGCTCCACGTCTTCATATAGCCCCCATATAACGGTACCACCCGATATTCGGTATTTTGATTATTTTAGCGACATTATTTACCGGAATTGTTTCAAATTTGGTATTTGAAGTTCGAAATGGATACTACAGCCTAAGACAGAAAATTGTCTGTGCAGGTCCACATCTTCGTATAGCCCCCATATAACGATACCTCCCTATATTTAGTATTTGGATGATTTTAGCGACATTATTCACTGGAATTTTTACAAATTCGGCATTTGAAGTTCGTAATAAATACTGCAGCCTATGACAGAAAATTGTCTGTGTAGGTCCACATCTTCTTATAGCCCCCATATAACATAACCTCCCTATATTTAGTATTTGGATAATTTTAGCGAAATTATTCACCGAAATTGTTTCAAATTTGGTATTTAAAGTTCGTAATGGATACTGCAGCCTTTGGTATAGCCCCCATATATTAGTACCTGATGATTTTAGCTACATTATTCACCGATTTTTTTCAAGTTTCGCATTTGAATATTGTAATGTCTTATGAAAAAAAAAACTGCCTATGCAGGTCTACGTCGTCGTTTAGACCCTAATATGACGGCTACATTTGGTATTTTTAAGATTTTGGCAGAATTTTTAACGGATTTTATTTTTTGAAAATTGTCAAATACGTTGCAAGTGTTGGAGGGTATTCAAAGTTCGGCCCAGCCGAATTTACAGATTTATTACTTGTTTTTATCTCCAAAAGATCGAAGATCAATCAAATTAAAATCTTTGGAAATACGTCTCATTCCATGACATCGAAGCTGTTACAAATCCAGGTTCATTCTTCTCTAGGAGCCTTCGAAAAAACTTCAAATAATCCACATTTATTTTTCTGTTAGAAAAATTTAAAGGAACCAAATTTTCTCTTCTATCTTCTCTCAAAATCTCAGAAAAATAAGCGCTAGTTTTTGCCTTGGGATACACAATTACTCTTCTCCTGGAGCCTTTCCAAAAACCTAAAAATCTTGAAAAATCCTGCTTCTTCTTTTATCGAGGACCTCTTATAAATTCAAAGAATCCGCAATTATTCTTCTCTTAAGGTCCTTCTAAAAATCCATATTTATTTCTCTGTTGGGGTTCTCACAGAAATCTTCGAGGAAATGACATTAATTTTCCTTTCAGAAACCCCTTAAAAATTGTTTAAAAAAGTCAAATTTATTCTATTGGGACCCCAATAAAATATTTTAAATTCTTTTAAATATTTCTAAAGTTCCACAATTCTTTTTTCAATGGGTTACTTTAAAAAATCCAAATTTATTCCAAAGTCTGCTGAAAATCTACGTTTCTTCTAGGGCACTTTAAAATATCTATTAAAAATAAATACGAGTTCGTTTTTGTTTGAGGTCCTCCCAGAATTTATGTAACGTACAAAATAATTCCCCCCATGTTGTTCTTGTAAAAATCACCAAAAATTGCTCATTTAAGGTTCGTCGAATACCCCTGAAAATCTCTTATAAATCACATATTCCCATTTCGAGGTCCTCCCCTAAAACTGGATAAAAAAAAATCCAAGCTTATTGTTTGTTTTCTTTTGTTTTATTATAAATGTTAATGAGGGAGGATTGGTGGGTCTGCTGTGTAGACCCGATAGATGAAGCAACAAAACATTTAACGTAAACTTTGAAATTTTAAAGCCTTAACTTAATTGATTTGTGAATAGAGGTTGGTTACTCGAAAGAAGTTTTTTTTTTCATTTATAGGTATTTTTCAAATAAATGCAGGTGATTTTGTTCTTTTCTTTCAGTAGTTGTTTTTCTTCAGGGGGTAAAACATGAATTAGGTGTATGATTAATGTATAGTTATAGCAAAAAGAAATTTATATATGATATTTTTTTTTAAACGTTAAAATTAAAAGATATTTTCTTTTATGGAGATGTTTATTCAACGCCAGCAGCAGCAGCTGCGGGGGCAGTGGGTTCATTGCCACCCTTCTTCTTCGAGCCGGATACAATATCATCAATTCTCAACAGGAGAATGGCAGTCTCGACGGCGGTTTTGTATGTTTGCATTTTAACGGCCAATGGCTCCCAAATACCCTTAACATTCATATCGACAATTTCACCAGATTCACCATCAATACCCCAGGCACATACACCATCACCAGAGTGGGAGGCGTGTTTTGCTCTCAAAGCGGTCAGGGTGCGAATTGTGTTGGCACCACAATTTTGAGCCAAGGTGCGTGGAATAATTTCCAAGGCCTCTGCAACAGCTGTGTATGGACCCTTCAATTGTTTGCGTGTCAACAGCTGAGACAAAGCCATTTCAATGGCACCACCACCAGGCACCAAACGTGGTTCCAATACCAGATTACGTGCCACATTCAAGGCATCTTGCAAATTACGTTCAGTTTCATTGAGAATATCCTTGGAGGCACCTCTCAAGAGAATGGTACATGCCTTGGGATCTTTGCATTCTGTAATGAAGGTGAAGTATTCATCGCCGATTTTCTTAATTTCGAAGAGACCAGCTCCGGTACCGACATCCTTCTCTGTCAATTCCTCGGTACGATTAACAATTGTGGCACCACAGGCCCGGGCAATACGCAAATTGTCGGTCTTACGCAAGCGACGAACGGCAGTAATGCCAGCCTTCAACAAGTAGTGCTGAGCCAAATCGGAAACACCCTTTTCTGTGAACACAACATCAGGTTTAAGGGCAATAATATCGGCACAAATGCGTTGGACAAACTCTTCCTCAATCTGCAACATGCGGGTAAAATCTGTTTCGCCCACAATTTCAACATTTGTTTGACTTTCACCCTTTTTGTATTCCAAGGAGCAGTCCAACAACACAATGCGAGGATTTTCAATGTAGCGACGCATTTTGGGGTGGGTGACATCCTTGTTGATCATGACACCCTTCAAGACACATGACTCATCAATGGAACCGCCAGGTACCTTTTCAACCTTAGCATAACTAAAAATAGGAAAAAAAAAACAATAAGTATTCATAACCTATTTTCTTTATATATCAGACTAACCGCTTAATATCAACCTCCAAGCGTCCATTTTCATTTAATGTCACAGTCTTTACAGCATCCAGGGCAATATTAACAGCCAATTCGGACCACTTGCCAATAAATTTTGTGCCCACACACGACTTGACCACCTCAGCCATTTTTTCCTTATTATTAACATCCAAAACAGTGCTCAAATCTGTTTGCAAATGTTTAATAATATCTTCGAGGGCTTCGCGATAGGCACGAATAATGACTGTGGGATGGATTTGTTGTTGCAAGAAAGGTTCGGCAGCAGCCAACATTTCACCAGCCAAAACAATGACCGATGTCGTGCCATCACCCACTTCCTCGTCTTGGGTGCGAGCAATTTCAATCATGCTCTTGGCAGCGGGATGTTGTACAGTGATCTCACGCAAAATGGCATTACCATCGTTGGTCATGACAATACCGCCCATGGGATTCATCAACATTTTCAACATGGCCTGTGGGCCCAAGCAAGTGCGGATAACATCAGCAATGGCCTGGAAATTTAGAAATTACAATTAAATTAATCAAATTAATAAAATCAAAGACCAGATGGTCAGCAGTCATCATTCAAATTGTCTCACATGAGTCACTTGAGGCAAACCCACACACACACTCACTCACGCATTACTTACCTTTCCGGCATTTATGTTTTCCAGCTGCACTTTTCGGCCAGACTCTCTTTTGGTATTTTGGCCTAAAACATGAAAAAATCATTACATTCCATTGGGCTACAGAGAAAATTTATTTAAAACCTACTTAAAACCAATATGGGCTGTGATCCACCGAACATTTTTTATTGAAAATTATTTGAAAGAATCCGTAAAACAATCGAAAACTCGTGCTTTGTGTGAGATCTGCGGCGCCCCTCTTTTGCAAAAATCATGAAAATGACGTGAGTGTTTAAGGTTATGTTTACATCGTTCATGGTACACTGAACAGTAATTTTTCTGACATTTCCAGAATATTCAAGCGTAGAACACAATGGAAAAGCGTCAGCGAAAGAATTTAATAAGAAGTGGAGACCACCTCAATTTAATGTTTGTTATGTTCCAATACGTTTTTAATGGTCAAACTAGAGAAAGAGAGATGTTAAATTCGTTCTTAGAGAACTGCTGCATACAAAGTACGGAAATGGAAGAATAGTAGGATGACAGAAGAATACAGATAGATGCATCAACGTTTGGGAACATTGATATATCAAGAATTTTAAAACATTTTTATTAAAATAAGTAGATTTTTATATGTTTTCTTATGAGATGCCAACCGGAGGTTGTTATGGTATGCATTTTTCAACAAATTTTATAAATTTCAATAATTCTTTATTCAAATTGGTTTGACAGTTCAGAAGCTGTGTTGATGCAACTACCTGTATTCTACTACCATGAATAGTAGTCATGGCAAAATTAGATGACAATCCTTCCATAATTTTCAATGTAATCAGTTACCCAATCAAAAGCTGGCTATTATGCTTCTTATTTTTTCTCTGATAAATCAGACTAGCTAAAAGTGGTACCAAAGAATGCCATATTTGCAATTGATCTGTTTATTTTGCCTCTATGTTTTGCTAGAACTTCGTGTACGGGAACGGGTTTCAAGTAAAAAATTGTTCAACTTGTACAATATAATACTTAATTACAGGTTCTGGAAAAAAATATTAGTGGCGTTGTAGAAACCCAAACTAACTTTCAGTATTGTATATTTAATTTTTGTCATATTAGTGAGTAATATGTACTATTTTTATACATCAGTGTTATATGGCTATTTACTTTTTCTTCTAGATGAGTAAGTACAAAAATATATATATTTACCCTTTTACAGAACTTCAAGAATGTAGAAGTGTTAGCTGTGATAACAAATTTTCCCTGTATGATATCAAAAAGAATTAAAAAACTAGTAGAATCTTGCAGGTTCTGGAACAGAGCAATTGTCTGTAATATATTTTTGCACGCAAAGAGAATTTGCAACTATTTCCTTCGTAAATAAATTCGCCCAAAAAACGTTTCGCGTTGTTTTCTTGTCTTTGAAACGTCTTGGCATTGTAAATAAATAAAATATTAAAATTACTACTTTTTAAGAAATACAATGAAAACGGCCAAGATTATTTTATTCATTCAGTAAAATACAAAACATTAATTTAAATGCTAAAAATCCGATCCAATGGTAGTGTTTTTAAAACTATTTTTTTCGATCTTCTAGAGCCCTTGACAATTGGCACACAATCTGTGCCGCCGCCAAAAAAACGTTCCGCATCGTGGCCTGGTCTTTAAACGTATTGGCATTGTACAGAAATAGAATAAAATAATTTGTATTTTTTAAGAAATGCAATGGCAACGGCCCCGATTTCGAATTAGTAAAATATAAAAAATCAATTTAATTGCTAAAAATCAGCCCAATGCCCGAAGCGGTGGATTTTTTAAAACCCTTTTCACTGAAATTTTTGATCTTATAGATCCCTTTAGTTGTCCCACCGACAATTGGGACATCATCTTGCCGCCGCCAAAAAAAAAAACGTTCCACATCGTTGTCTGGTCTTTAAACGTTTTGGCATTGTAAATAAATAAAACAATTTTTAATTTTAAAGAAATACAATGGAACCGGCTAAGAAAATATCATTTGGATTTAGTAAAATAAATAAAAAAGTCAATTTAAATGCTAATAAACCCGCTCCAAAGCCGGAAGTGGAACTGATAAAATGTTTGGAGGGCCAGGAAATCAAGCTTGTAGAGTAAGTAGTGACATTGTTAATTCCCAATGACCGCTAACAGTATAATGCATTTACTTTTAGGGAGAAAAAGGAAGAGGCACCACTCATCATTCCCATGAAGGGAACCCAGAAAACATCCTCTGCATTGGCTAGTTTAATGAAACGAAGGGCTGTGTTACTGGGAGAAGATGAACCCTCAGAAGAAGTTGCACAAAGTGAAAATAAAGAAGAGACTACACAGGAAAATGGCAAGGAGCCTGAGGATTTAGAGAAGAGGGCGGCCAAAGAACTTTTGGCCGAAATCAATGCCAATGGTTCATTGAATTCTGAGACAAATCTTACTTTACCCGTTGTACATCCAAACGATTTGCCATTAGAGGGGGCCAAAGAATCATCGCTGGATGATTATGATAATATTCCAATACAAGATTTTGGAAAAGCCCTATTACGTGGTATGGGCTGGGTGGAACCACCAAAACCCACAAAAGGTGGTCCCCCTGTGGATGATATGCCAATGGTCAGACCCAAGGGCATGGGTCTAGGTGCTGACAAAGCTTTAAAGGCCAAACCGCTTTTGGTTGCACCCGAATCGAATGAGGTGTTGGAAATAAAAAGAAATGCCTATGTAAGGATATTGGGTGGTAAACACAAAGATCTCTATGGTCAAATTGAGGGATTTGATGATCATGCCGGCAGGGTAATTGTTAAAATGGCCATTGGTGGGGCCAAAGAGGCATTCAATGAGTTTCTATGCCAGCCAGTGTCACGCAAGGAATATGCACAATATGGAAAATGTATAAGTAAGTAGGAGAAAAACACTTTTGTCAGTATGTCGGAATTGATTTTAACAATTATTTTGTATATTATAGATTCCACTAAATATGAGGAATATAAAAGGAAGGAAAATGAACATGGCCAAATTATTTTAAAGGAAGAGAAAAAGGAAAAGGATATTAAGTTCATTTCCAAAGGAATAAAAAGCAATAAAGATGTCCAGGAGATTTCCTCAGATGAAGATAATCTAAAAAATTCCAAGAATATTAAGGAAGAACGCGTCGAAAGAGATTACGAGGATAGAAAATATCGAATTAATTCGAAAGGCACAAAAGAGGAAAAATTTGAGGAAAGCGATTATGATGGCAGAAAGAATCGAAGAAGTCCTATGGTCATTAAAGAAGAGCCTTCGGAAAAAAATTATGACCGCAAAAATAATGATAGAAGGGACAATAAATCTTCCAGAAACAATTATAGGTACGATGAAAAAGAACGGTATCGGGAAAGAGAAGACAATAAAAACTACAGGAGATATGAAGAAAGCGCTAGTAGAAGAGATGACAATGAGCACAAATACAATAGAAGAGATAATTACGGAAACAAAAAAGAAAGAAGCAGTAGAAATGACAACTACAGAGATGAGGTTAAAATAAGTAACTATAGGGAGAATGAACGTGACCATAGAAGAGATGAATCTTACAAAACTACTGATCGTTATGATGATAGATATGGTCGCACGGACAGAGAGCACAAAAATGAAACAAGAGAAAAACAAAAAGAGTATGAGGAAAGAAGTCGTAGAAAGAACGAAAAATCATCCGAAGAGACTGAGTCCAGTGATACTGAAGACCATTCGAAAAATAAAAAATCCCACAAAAAGAAGAAAAAATCAGAGAAGAAATCGAAAAAGTCAAAGAAAAGTAAATCCAAGTATCATGACAGCAGTGATTCGGACGACTCTTCAACATCGGACTCAAGTGATTCCGAGGATGAGAAATATAGGAGAAAACATAAAAGTAAAAATAAGAAAAGCAAGAAACAACGTGAACGTTCGCGTTCGAGAGGTAGAAGATAGCATTAAGTAGATTAAATTGTGTAAAGTAAAATTGAAAATAAATGCTAGTTATTATGAATAAAAAAGATGCCATTTTAATTTATTTAATAAAGTGTGGTTTTATTAAATTGTTTTAAATATTTGATATTGTTAAGAATGTATAGACATGCTTAGAACTAAGTTTGTTTTGGAGCAAAATAATGTGGTAAATAACTCACGTTTTATGTTTATGGGTTTTTGGTAGGAAAACTATTTTGAAGATGGGAAGAAAATTTTTGTTGACCTGCCCATAAATTTTAAACAAAATTTATTGGAATTTTTGAGCAAAATTGTGAACAGACCTGGGATATTCCGCTTAGCAATTTCCCTACCCTTGAAATACTAATATATATATTTTTTTATTTTCTTTATTTCCAATATTATATTCTTCAATGAATAAATTCTGAGATTCGTGTTTTTTTTGTTTTTAAATAAATTAATAAAATTGAGTGATGTGGTTTTTTTTAATAAAACAAATTAAAACTTAAATACTAAAATGTGTTTTAAAACACTACAGGCTAGAAATTATTAGATTTCAAAATTTCCGTTTGAAAGAAAGCAAATATAGGTATTACTAATAATAATGTTGAATGAGAAGCCAAGAAGAGAGGTAGGTGGTGACTTAGAAATGCAATCCGTTATTGTTGTTGTGCTTTAGTTGTTTGTTTTGTTTACTCTATGACAATGATGAGAATAAGTTTTAATAATATTTTGTTTTTAATTTATAGTATAGCATATTTGGTTTTGCTTTTGAAATACTTATTTAATGCTTTGGTCGACCATTTGTTTTTTCTGTTCTCACAAGATATTAATACTTTTGTATTGCATATCCATCAGTTTTTTTACTTGTTTTAATGTGTTTTGTTGTTTTGTCATGAAAATGCTTTCAAAAAGGAATAATTTCTAATTATCCTAAAGAAATATCAAAGAATAAATTACATATATATGGTTGTTGTTGTTATATTTTCAAATACTTTGCTGTTGTTGTTGTTCTTTGTTTTTAAACGTTTGTTTGTAATGGAATTGCTTTAGTCTTGCTTCTTGGTTACCTCTCGTATCTTTTCCATATTGGAACTTACAAGACAACCGAATCTCTCTTTGAATTTATTTAAGACACCCTTGTCCTGGATACCGGGATACATGGCCACACCCAAACTGACAAAATACATTAGCAGCAGATTATTGAAGATGGCACCAATCCAGGCCAGACCCAGCAAGACAACCGTCATTATGATGACAAACTGAAAAAAAACAAAGAAGTTAGAAAAGAAGGCGTAAATAAGGAGAATAGAAATCTGTAACAATTCTTAATATGATTTTTAGTCGGCGAGTGTTCTTTAGTTTATACAGGTTGAGATAAAAAAAAAAACTGCAACAAAGTCAAATGGCATAATTTTTACATTTTTTTTTTCAAATTTTATTGAATGAAAGCGAAAGAGGTGGGAAATAGCATCACATCTTAGAATAAGATTAGGTTTGTTCGAATTGGTAACCTTTGGCTCGAATAATGGCCTTCAAATGGCCAATGAAACCGTCATACGCTGCCCGAATATTGCTCTGCGGTGGCCCATTCCCGGCGAACCGCTTGCTTGAGGTGATCGACACGTTGGTATTTCTTAGTGCCAACCTTGCTTTCCCGAATACTCCAGACATAATAGAGCAACGGATTGGTATCCGCAGATTTTGGTGGCCATTTTTCGCTGGAAATAAAGCGAGGAACCTCATTTTTTAAGCATTCGTGGGTGGGGCGTGCTTAGTGCGATGGTGTTTAGTCCTGTTGGAATGTCAAAGGTCTGAGGCCAAAATGTTTGCATGCCCAAGGCTGTCACTGGAATAATTTTAACAGCTGTCGGACGAGTGGCTTAGAAGTGACAGCAGTCTGAAGTTTGTTGCAGTTTTTTCATCTCACCCTGTATAGCCTGCCAAATTAACAATTATCATCCCGGATAATTTATTTAAAACTTCCAAATAGCAAAAACCAAATGATAAGCCAAATGGGTCTATGTCTATACATGGACCAATTGACGCGGTTTCAATGGCTGTGCAACTATTCAAAGTGGATGACAGAAGTAATATGTCTCCCATCTTATGGTAAGGGTATAAATATGCCGAGACATTAAGTCCAATGGCATTAGCTTTGTATTAGTCATCGATAATGCTAACCACACAATAAAATATGATAGTTTAGCCGCATGCTGAGTTCTTTTTTCAACAGCTAACAACAATGAATCAAATTTCAATGAATGGTACTAAGCAGTTTTAGGACGGAAATGCCCATGAGAAGGGCTTGTTATGATAAATTTATCACCCATATAAATACACCCTTTTTAATCCTCTACTTCCTTGGGAAATTCCTCATAATTTACACAAAATTCCATTTCTACATCAATTGAAAAATATCTAATTTAAATTTCTTTGTTAAACTTCCTACTTACCACTGTCGACTTTTTTTCCTTGTTGGCAAACAGATATTCATACCATCCCAACAATAGAAATTTTATATCACACAATTGGGTGACAACATTTTCAAATTGTGCCTCCTGTTTGCCGCTCCATTGATCGGCATTAAACAGCAATTTTGATATGGTGGGATACAAGAAATCGAAGAGGACCCCCATAAGAAGGGTCAATGCCAGCAAAGTGATTATTGACAAATCCATGGCCCACAAAGCCAAAAAGAAAATGCTTATCCCAGCAAAAATGATGGCTGGATAGAAATTTTTCTCCCACACTAACAACGAATCGATATGTACGATGACGTTACGCCAGGGCTCCAGGTCATGTTTCAACTTATTGAATGCTCGTTTCTGCAGGATAAAAAGAACGAAAAAAAAACAACAACAAGAATTGAAATTTTCCGATAAATGTGGGGTTAGTTTGTATCCGTTTCATACAAACGAAATAATTACTTAAATTTAAGAAATAATTGGCTACTTACTTGATCAACCTGAGACATTTTTGTTGTAGTTTATTTTTTCTTTTACAATTTGTCTTTTTTATTTATTTAATGCCTCGACTAAATTGCCAAGCAAATCAATGCAAGCCACAAAAAAATAATGATGCACAATAATTTTTTTTGCAAATGCGCCCTCTCTCTTCTCTCTCGCGCTCATCCAGCAAAATTCTAAATGAAGCTTTAGTGCAGCTTAATGTATGGCGTGTGGCAAAAGGATAAAAGGGCGGTTGTTTTGACATATATACAAAGATATTTAATATAATTTATATAGATGGTATGTAAATTTATATATTGTCAAATATAAACGTATTTTTGCTGTTTAATCAGCTATGAATAATAATAATTTAATTAGCTATAACGATTTATTCAAATTAGGCAGGTTTACTTGCAGAAAATCTCTACTTGAAGGTGTGTTTATTTTTATTAAAAAATGCAATGAAAAATAACAAAAAAGGCAATGATGAAGAAGAAAATTGCTAAAAACATTTGACTTGCTGCGAATAAACTCCTCTAGACTAAATTAGTAATAATTAAGGTAGAATAGGTAGAAAACATAGCCATATATTTATGTCTTCAACTCTGAAGTCAGACACTTGTTATAAGGAAGAAAACCGTAGAAGACAAGTCGATCAAGGAAACTTTCACATTTTTTCCCCTCCCTATAATTACGGATTTTCTTTAATAAACTTGTTTTACGTCTTTCAGTGGAGAAGCCATATATATTGAGATGCAATCTACGTTTTCATTTAAGTCTTACCATTAAAATATTTAAGCTTCATCGTGGAAGTGTTGTATTTCGAAAGCTTTGCTTTAAGGGTTGCTTTTTAAATTGTATTAGGGTGGCTATGAATGTTTAAATGGAATTGTTGCTAGGGAAATATGTTGAACATATTTTACACTACACCTAAATTATTAATTTTTAGAAGAAACTTATTATTATAACATGTTCGGTAAAACATGTTCGGTAAAAATAAATTCAACTTTTTATCATTAAATTAATAAGGGTATAAAGTAAGAGTTGTAAAGTCAAGTTGTGTAGCGTAACATTCTTTCAGGGGATAAATTGCTCACAAAGAACTCCTTGTGCACAATTTCAGACAATTCCGTTGAAAAACGTGGCTAAAATCTTCAAAATACCGAATATCGGAAGGTGCTGTTATATGGGGGATATACAATGTTGTGGACCTATATGGACAATTCTCTTTCAGCGGGTAAAATGCTCACAAAGAACTCCTTGTGTGGATTTTCAGACAATTACGTTTAAAAATGAGGCTAAAATCATCAAAATACCGAATATCGGAAGGTACCGTTATATGAATTAGAATTTTACGCTGATCAAGAATATATATACTTTGCTGGGTCTAAAATTATTATTTCGATGAGTTACAAACGGAATAACGAACTTAATATACCTTCCACACTATGCACGGTGGAGGGTATAAAAATTCCGTCTAGCAATCCCTTAAAACTCTCTGCCGGTTATTTATATTTGGGTAAGCAATTATAAAATATCTTTATTTCAGATCTTGTACATGGTAGAAGAATACAGGTAGATGCAACAACGCTTGGGAACATTGGTATGTCAAAAATGTTTATTGAATTATAAGTAGATTTTTATATGCTTTTTGATGGGACAGCAGTCGGAGGTTATTATAAAATGTGTTTTCAACAATTTTTACAAATTTGAATTATTTTTCATTTAAAAATTTCAATTCCAAAATTGGCTTGACAGTTCATTTTCCCAGCAGCTGTGTCGATGCGTCTACTTTAATTCTTCTACCATGATCCTGTAATATTTTATGTTTACGGCTCACAAATTGTTTTCTTTTGACAAATCAGCTGACTCTGTTTTCTTTTGACATCTTTTTACAAGAGAGAATAAAACTACCATGCTCTCTCAGAAAAGATATGCTCGACAGACCTAATTCAAATAAGACATTTTTTGGAAAAGGGTTTCATTTCGATCAAATTTTTTCGATATTGGAAATAATTCAGCCCCTGGTTGATCACACCCCTCCTACACCTCGCTTAAAAAAATACCACACATTTTTTTTCTTTACAAGATATATTTTATTTTTAAATACTACAATATTATTAATTCAAATGTTGTTTCGTTTGTTTTGTTAAAAAAAAAATATAATAAAATACAAGAAAAATGTACAGTTGTAAAATGTTTCCTTTTTCCGGTACATCTAGTCGTGGTTTTCTCTTTATGTAAAAAAAAACGAAAGAAATACAGGAAATTTAAATATTTTAATAATTCAGACATCTATTTTTTTCGAAAACGGAAACTTATTTTGTAATTTTTTTGTCTGGCTTTACTTTGTTTAGAACAAATCGATGCAACAAAAATGAAATTTCAATTCAAACAGGTTTGGTAAGGAAGTTCTTTTTTTTGGCAAAGCGAACAGGAGGAGAAAATTTCAGCAATAAATAATAATGTATTTTGTAGTTTTCTTTTAGTGTATTTGTCTATTGTAACATTTAGTTAAACAATGAAGTTGTGGAAAACAAATATCTATTGCTAAATGCTCTTTAAAACAAAAGAACATTGGTATTATTCAAAAGGCAAATGAAGAATTGACTTCTTCATTACTAAGGGATAAAGGAGCTAGGTTTTTGTTTTGCTACCAGGCTCATGTTCGTCTTAAAGAGCATATAATATAATCTATGTTTTTTCTTTACATTTTAGCTTTTTCTATGAATTTGCCTATTGCTTTTCCTTTATGTTAAAGAATTATTATTTAAAGCTGAAAACTAAAAAAACGAGCTTTTGTACACTACAGTCGTAGAAGAAGATAAAACGTTTTTAACGACATAAATATATTAGCATTAAGTTTGAGTGTGTGTGTGTGTTTTTTTTTTATAGAAAACATAACATTATCCTTCTAGCCTTTTTACAAAAAGAAAAACAGTCCATTATATATATAATTAATAATAATATATATCGCTCATTATTAACCGGTATTTATAAAAAAAGAAAATCGCAACCTTTCCCTCTTGGTTTTTTTGTTTACATACTAAAGTTTTCTTATTCTTAAATGTGAAATCAAATAATTTCAATATTAATGTATACATATATATCGTCGGGGGATTGATGTCGTTCGGTGCTTCGATTTGAACATAAAATTGTGGGGGGATGGTGGTGGTAGCCGTCATTGGAGGCTTACGTTTTCTCCTCTTTTTCTTTGTTGTAACGTTCCAGTTCCTTAAGGAATTGAGCTTTGGGTTTCATAAGATTGGGCCGATCGCCACGACAATTCGGACAATACCATTTGCCTTTGGGTTTTAATACCAGCGAGACACATGAAAAATGAAACCATTCAATGGGACATAAATCATTATCGCAGAGAATCATTTCGCCGAAGGATATCTAAAAAAAACATTGAAGGAAACATTAATTATTCAAACGGGAATAAGTAGATCAGAAGCTAAATATGTCAACAAGTAACCTAGGCTTCGGAGTAGGATGGCATCATCAAAAAATATGAATATCAGGAGTCTTGGTAGAAACTAAAGCTGATTATGCGGACATTAATTTCATCCCTTCCAGTATTGGGGTTTCCTAACTCATTTTTTGAGTTACCGACAAATATCCAAAAATGCAAAAATTATAAATGGTCGCTAATTTAACGAAATTTTTGCTAATTACCGATTATTTTCGGTAACTCAAAAATAAGTTCCCAAAAAAATAAGTTTTTGGGAAGGATGGTCGAAACACGTATTCCACATTCAACTCCTTTCTTTCCCATGCTGCTATCCTTTCCTTCCGGCAGTAACAAAGGAAAGCTTCTAAAAGTTTCTTCGCGGGCTTGATTTGTCAAAATGTGTCTCATTTTTCTCCTTCTCCGATGCTTACCCTATCCAACTTCCGTGTGATCTTTTTTCGAAATTGGAAAGTTCTCCCCCAAAGTGCACAATATCTTCTGTTTTCCCCTCTTACCTGATTGCATACACAGTATGTCGGCTCATCAGGATCAATGGGATCTGGTGGTGGTGTTTCCTCTCGCGCATTGGCTTGGGCCGATGACTGAGCGCCAGCACCGCGGGCCTTGCGTTTCTTCTTTTTGCCCGAATGATTTGTACCCGAACCACTGCCATTACCCGATCCTGAACCGGATCCAGTAACAGCTGATGTTGCCACCGCTGATCCGGCCATGTTTTGTACACCACTTTTCTTCTGGGACGCCGCCACACTTGAAGATTTCTGATTGTTACTGCGATCATTGCCATTGCTGCCACCTTCATTGGCCGAGTTGGATTCATTACCACCCAATTCCATGTTGCCCACGGTGTCATTTCGGCGCCGAGAACGTTTGCTATTGCTTCGTTGATTTTCCAGGCTGGATGAATTAAGAAGGCCGCTGTTTCCATTGGCATTGTTGCCACTTGTGGTCATATTACTGCCACCCACAGAACGTTCCGAGTTTGGTGTGGAGTTTCCGCCACCAGCAGAATTTGAGCCAGAGGCACCATAACCTAGAACAACAAAATAAAAAGCATTAAGAATTTGTTTCCTTTCGCCCCCATTCCAAAATTGTAACCTACCATTGGCAATGGCTCCGGACAATGTCGACAAATCCCCCACTCTTGCCGGACTTTGAGTACGTGTTTGCTTCTGCGGTGTCGGTGCACCACATTCATCCATTTGCATGTGCATAACATCTTCCTTTTCCTCTTTGATATCGAGATTCTTCTGGTCCGTGTCCAGTTGTCGTGTCTTATGATCTATCAATTCCTGTAGCTGGGTAACAATTTGCATTTTCTCATCGCCCAATTCCTGGGCCTGTATCAAACTCTGTTGCATACGGGTAACAGAACGTGCCCGTCGGGGTATATTCGATTCACCACAATTCTGCAGGGATCTCCACAAGTCATAGTAATGATCAACATCTCGCAGGAGGTCTATACAAAAAAGACAACAAACAAAACAAAAACTAAGTCGAAAGGCAATTAACCTCAAAACATACACCGCTTGCCTGCCTGCCTCACTGGCTAGTTGCCTCCCTGCCTGCCTGCCACAAAAACACAATTCGCGAAAGTTTTGTTTGGCACAAGGGGCATAGCCAAGCCACCAATGCAAGCAGCAAAGCAATACACCACACTAGCTGTTTAGCTAACTAGCTAGCTGTGGCCACCATCAAAATACTTACTTCGATACTGTACATCTATATCACGTATACGCGATAAGTGCCTCTGAACGTCATCGGGTAGATTTTCCACCGAATCAATATAGTTATCCACATAGGTGGCCGAGTACAGGGCCTCATCCATTTTCTCCCACAATTGAGCCAGTATTGATGCTTTTCTGTCTATTTCTGGCTGTCTTTTCGTAGACCTCCTACTCTCTACGCTACGCTTGACTTTACCAAATAAAAACAATAGTTGTAATAATAATTGCGCGTCTTTTTGTACATCCAACCAGCTTTGCTCTGCTACGGTGTGTTGCTCCTAATATACGTTTACTACGATGCTAGAGCGTAGTGTTGTAAAATCAAAATCTCTATACACACAACACACAGGAAGAGACAGACGACTTCTCGTTTTTTTTTTGCTTTTTGGGAAAGTTTGGCTTGATTTGTTCCGAAAGGTAGGCAAAACACTCGAATTACTTCAACGTTATTTGATTATATTTCCATCGACGAGTGCTCTCCCATAAAACTGACAGCCAAGAAGATGGATTTTTATTAATATTTTTTATTCTTTTCGCAACGAGACGTTGTTGGCCATTTGTAGGAATTATAAATATTTACTTTATTAAACGCACGGCGTAAAGCCGAATATGTATTAGGAAATCGGCGTCGTACAAATTGTCAAAGCTTTTGGCACGTAGCGTCTTTTCGATGGCAATTAGAAGTAGATATTGTCAAACACAGGGTTCACATGGTGCGATATATTAGACAGCAAATAATCGCTTGTAAACAGAAATTTTTGGAAATAAGAAATAAACATTATCTACATATATTTTTGATACAAATTGTGTAAATAGGAATTAAATAGAATAGATTGCAGTATTTATAATTGCTATTTTCGTATTTAACATCAAAAGGCAGTGTGTTAATGGAAAACAAAACTCCGTGGTGCAGTTGTGTGGGAATTAAGGTGTTGTTAGACGGCACTTACTTTTCATATGTTTCTGTCAATTTTATCAACAAATAATTCTGTTACATGCCAGAATTGTCATCAATAGCTAATCGTACTGTTAGATCCAATTTTTTGGTGAAATCTTAAAACAATTTAATTTAATTTTTAATGAATGTGCAACAATTGGTTTTGTTTATTTTATATTTTTTCTTACAAAATTCTTATATTGGGGAAAAATTACAAAACATGAAAGAAATGTTGGCGTTATTCCAAGAAAAAAACAATACAGTTTTATCCGACACCAAAAAAAAAAATGTATTTGTGAAGTAGCTTCTCTAATTATGCCATGGATATATCGTTCTTTTTATTAGCTATTTTTTTGTTCTAGAACTGTTACTACGATAACTCAAATTTTCCTTTTGGAATAGAAAACATGGTAGATTCTTGCAGTTTCTGGAACAGAACATATATTTATTTCAGTAAAAAAATAGCATGATTGCTACCTTCTGATTGTATGATATGTTGATTTTGAAGGACTAATAAGTAGTTTTGACATTTTCGCTTGATTTCGTATTTTCTCTCTTGCACTAATTTAGTAATAAAAAGGAAAATCTAAAAAAGAGTTTTATTAAAACAAGCCAACTAAATTGTCTGTTTTGCGAAGATTCGGTTTAAATAGGCTTATAACTTTACTGAGACTAAAGGTGTTGGTACATAAGCAGCTTGAAGTCTTCGCATGGCATATTTGGTAACATATCATAAAGGGATGTCATAGCTGCTCTCGAATCCTGCCGTAATTTGTTCCTTATAATTTGACATTTATATGCCAAGCCATGATATCAAGCTGCTTATGTACCCGCACCTTATTGTTATCCCGCAATTCCGGTCCCATTCGATTTATTATGTGTAAACGTAATTTTTATAAGATTGAGTTTGAAAGGCATAATTCTGAATTTGTGAGAAAAAAATATTTTGAATTGACTTTATAAGTGACAGTAGTCGTACATATTATATGAATGTCGACCATAAAAATAAGATATTCCTTATATATTAATGCGTGATAATATTTTTGAATACTGGAGTTTGAAAGGCATAATTCTGAATTTGTGAGAAAAAATATTTTGAATTGACTTTATAAGTGACAGTAGTCGTACATATTATATGAATGTCGACCATAAAAATAAGATATTTCTTATATATTAATGCGTGATAATATTTTTGAATACTGGATAGTAGATAGTAAATAAATATATACCTCCAGTAATAACATTTGGCCGTTTTTTTTTGTGTTTTACCTTCCACAACTCTCTTTAAGATTTCTTAATAATTTGTTCTCTTACTGAGTACGAAAAGTTATAATACAATTTAAAGTTACATTTTTAGCAATTTTTTCCAATACGATGATGGGAAATTGTTTATCGTAGTAGAAATTGTTACAGTTCTGGAACAGAGTGTGTTGTGAGAATTATTTCTTTTTAAATAATAATTGAAATATATCAAATAATAACAATTTATAATTTTTTCAATGTGAGAAAAATCCACATTGTTCACATGTTCATGAGAACATGGCATAACACCATTGTCACCACGGCAACCGATTACTCGATATTCCAGCAACACAATAAAACAATTGGCCAAAAGTCGACTTACGTAGCCCTCGTACGGAATTCAAATTATTATTTCGCAAACTTTTGTCGTGACAAGTTGTGTTCGTTTCCGTTCTCAAGCCCGTGTTTCGTTTTTAATCGTTTTATTGGTGCAACACCCGTTGAGTTATTTCCCCGCAAAGTATAAAAAAGCCGGTACATTAAATTAGAAAAGTGTATCACACAAATCTCAAAAGAAATATTAACAAATAATACAACGAAAAGGAAGTTGTATTGCATTTGACAAAGAAAAACACAAGAAGAAAACCAAACTTAAAGCAAAGCTAATAAAATACCCAAAACGCCGGTATCCAATTAATACAGTTTATAAATTTCTACAGAGAAGTTATTAACAAAAAAACCAACAAATCAAAATGATGAGCTTCGAAGGAATTAATGATGATAAAAAACCCTCATCCAAGTAAGTTGCGGCTCCTTAAAGCCTTCCTTTTTGTTTCCACGACTTCTTTGTGTATGCGTGTGTGTTGGAGGGAATAATAACCTCCATTTTTAATTGATGATGGATCTTGGTTACTTGTTCTTGTGTTCTTGCATTTTTTCTTTTGTTTCTCCTTTGTCAACGATCATGCTTTTTGTTTTAGCTTGGAATGGATCCTTCCAGATACCTTTTTTCGTATTGCTTTTGTTGCTCTTCTGCGAAAGAGCAGGCAAACAAATCAACAAACAAAATATGTAAGAGCTTTTTATGCTGCTATTTCTTGGCGGTGTGGTGTGCTTGTGTGGGTTTATTGTTTAAATCTTTCTTCACACAACTTTGAACATAAGCTTTTTTGTTTGAATTTTTCTAACTGAAATTTTATTTTTTTCGTTCATTTGTTAATAATTGCCAACCAATTAGGAAAACTTAAAATGATTGGCATGTGCGTGCGAGTGATTCGTTGCGCTTTGTCCAACATTTTCTTGTTCATGTTTGTTGGTTTTTGCAAACAAAAACTCAAGTGTGTTCCCTCCTCTCACCTAGTAACGGTATATGTTGATAATACTCTTCCTTATGTCGTGGTTTTTGTTTGCACTTCCTTGCCCTTTTTCGTTTATGTTGTTGTTATTGGTTTATGTAGAACATGTTTCTTTTTTTCTGTTCATGTCGACGACATCCATTTTGTTGTCGTCGACAAACCGGGGCAATATCGATTCTTCTTCGAAGGTGTTGGTCGTTTCTTTGACTTCTCCCTTTTATGTTATTGCCGAATTGCGAATTGCTGCAAAATTGTTAGAAGAGGAGCATTGCTTGTCGTGGGTGTGGTGTCTGCCGAGTGAATCATAGGAATTTAATAGCAACGTCATGTAATTGTTGTAGTTGTCATTTAATTTCGCAAATGTAGCAAGTAAATGCAAAGAATCTGATTAGATTCCAGAGAGAGTGAAACACATGTTTAATTGTCAAAAACATGATGTGTGAATGTGTGGTGTTGTTTATGTGCTGCCGGCCGGCAAATGTGAAATGCATGTATTAAGGGTTCTTTAGACGATGAGATTTTTTTTATTAAAGGGAGGCAAATTTTAAATTAAATTAAAAAAAATATTTTAAAATCTTAAAAAAAGGTAGGAAATGAACTGGAGAATTACTAAAGATGATCTAAGACGACTGACTTTACATAATTCTGTTTCTTTGTAAAATAAAAAAGTTTCTAATTGGAAAAGTCCAATGTTTGTGGGAATATTCTTTCCCATCGGGCTTTATTGTTTGCTAAAGAAAATGAAAACTATTGATCTTTTTCAGAACCTGCAAGAATTTACTAGTTTTCCAGTTTGGTCTTTCGATATTATAGAGGGAAATTCAGTTATCGTAGTAGAAGTACTAAACATTTTTGCAATTCTGGAACAGATCAAATATCACATATTTGACTTTAAATAAATAATTTCGTCAATAAAATAATGTCACTCGTTTCATCCTCTAACTGAAACTGTCGTTACATTTGAAATTTTCTTTATGAATCACCCAACATGCTGATCATCTAACAAAGATCACCAAAAAAAAGCAAAATTACTCAAAAATCAAAACAATTTGTTTTCTGCTTAAAGAATTTGGCTCTTTTTCCAGCCAGATGTCTTTGAACTGATCGCAGACACTAATAGCGGTTATGGGTAATGTTTGTTCGCTAAAAAGAGGAGGGGGTAATTCGTCAACTTAATTTTGATGAATGAAAGAATGAATGAGTGGATGGTTGGATGGGGTATTGTCACCGCAAATGTGTTGTTGTAACAAAAATATGCTAATTTTTTTTATTATTATTGAAAAATGGTTATTGGTGTTGGCTACTTTTTTATATGAGCGTTGAAAACCACTAGTACCATGAGGTTACTTTTCTTCAACATTTATGTGAATTGTAGCAATATTTTCGATGATAATCTATTATTTCGAATTATTATGCCAATAATGATCGAAATTTTGTAAATCATGTTTTTTTGTTGATAACAATCTTTTTGTAAGGAAAAGTTTTCGATAACTACATTTCTATAACTAAAGGTTGTCGATAACAACTTTTCTTTGGAAAAAAGTTGTCGATAACAACTTTTCTATAACGAAAAGTTGTCGATAACAACTTTTCTATAACGAAAAGTTGTCGATAACAACTTTTCTATAACGAAAAGTTGTCGATAACAACTTTTCTATAACGAAAAGTTGTCGATCACAACTTTTCTATAACGGAAAGTTGTCGATCACAACTTTTCTATAACGAAAAGTTGTTTTCTGTAACGAAAAGTTGTCGATAACAACTTTTCTATAACGAAAAGTTGTCGTTAACAAATTTTCTATGACGGAAAGTTATCGATAAGAACTTTTCTATAACGGAAAGTTATCGATAAGAACTTTTCTATAACGGAAAGTTATCGATAAGAACTTTTCTATAACGGAAATTTATCGATAAGAACTTTTCTATAACGAAAAGTTGTCGATAAGAACTTTTTTATAACGAAAATTTGTCGATTACAAATTTTCTATGGAGAAAAGTTGTCGATAACAACTTTTCTGTAACGAAAAGTTGTCGATAACAAATTTTCTATGGATAAAAGTTGTCGATAACAAATTT